TTAGGAAAGGCATATGGTAAAATTCAGGATGTTTTCTAGACAAAAACTGGATGGTTTAGGAATAGAAAGAATATCCTTCAACATAATAAAGGCCATTTATGAAAAACCTGTAGCTAACATCATAACACAGAAAACATGCAAGCTTTTCCAGCAAGATTGATCCAGTATTAGACAAGAATGCCCACTCTCACTTCCATCCCATGTAGTATTAGAAGCACTTGCAAGAGCAATAGGACAATTAAGAGATAAAAGTTGCCAAAATCACAAAGGAAAAGGCAAAATGATCTTTATTTATAGGTACTATGATCCTATTTCTAGAAAAATTCAAAGATTTTACACACGTACACACAGTCATAACTAATACATGGATTCACTGTTTCAGGAAATAAAAATCAACATACAAAAGTTAGTAGCATTTATTTACACAACCTACTTGAAAAAGAAATCAAGAAATCAATTAACAATGGCCTCAAAAAAAGTTAAATACTTAGGAACAGGAATAAATTTGAACAAAGACAGACTTGTACATGGAAATTATAAAACATTGACTAGGCATTAAAGAAGACAAATAAATGAAAGAATATGCTGTGTTCATTTATCAGAAAGAATTAAAAATTTTGTTAATGTCACATTATCCAAAGCAGTATATGGTGTAGATTTAATGCAATCGCTATAACAATTCCAATGGCATTCCTCACAGAAATCTTTTAAAATCCAGAACTGTGTGGGACCTTATAAGCCCTGAATAGCCAAAGCTATACTGAAAAAGAAAATTGCAATTGGAGGCATCACAATTTTTGGTTTAAAGTAAAGCTGTAAGAGTGTGGCATTGGTGTAAAAAAACAAATATAGACCAATGCAGAAGAGCAGAGAGCCCATAAAACTAAAAACATATGGTAAACTAAATATTTTTCCTGGTTTATAATACCCAGGCCTACAAGCTCCCCTGACTAGAGATAAATGGCAACTTGGGATTATTCTGTAATTAGCACCATCTGGTCCAAAGACCCAGCCAAGCATCAAAAGCACAGGTGGGTGATGGAAAGGCTGGACCCTAACCCCCTCCCTTTCTGAGAATTTTTTTGATCTATCCATGCACCCTTGCTATTGGACTCCTTTTCCTCTTGGGTCAACATTAGTTAAATGTCTATACTTGTAATCCTATAGATTGATTGTAGTTTGGTGCATGTAATATAATGTTGTGACTTTGCTATGTAAATTACCCTTGACAAAGAGACTCAGTGACCACTCATTGGAACCCCTCCTGAAATTTCAGGAGCTATTCTCCTTATTTCCAAAAAGTCTCTCCTACCTTCCTCCTTTGGTTCTCAACTTCATTCCTGGATGTTGTTAAGACCAGGGACTCAGCACATCTGAAATCTAACAGGTTTAGATTTATTTCCCCCATAACACTAAGAGTTTAGAAAATTTGATTTATACTTAAATTTCCTGGCTTTTAACACAGTGAAGTCCAGATAAGTTGAAATGTTAATTTAAATGAATAAATAACATCAAAAATAATATTTATTGGAAATGCTTTTATAGAGCTGAAGTATAAATGATAAAGAAAAACAGTATACTTTATTTAAAGTTTGAAAATTTTATTTTCAAAAATATCATAACCAAGACTAAAAGGTAAACAACCTGGAAAATAAAATCATAGCATATATATATGAAGAAAAACTGATGTGCTTAATACAAAGACAGTTTATAAATCTAAAAGAAAAGATGAGCAAAAAGTATAATAAACAAAAATGCAAAACTACAAGATAAGTTTAAACAAAGTGTTCAATCTTACAGGTACTCAGTAATATATGTATTAAAAGGTAATCTGGATTTTTTAACCTTTCAAATTAGTAAGTATTTAAAAGGATAACTCATGTTTGTTGCCATACGGCAAAAATTTAACCAGACACTTTTTAGGAGAGAAATTTTTAGTAGTTCATATTTCCTTTCACATGGCAACTTCACTTTTTAAAATATATGTATAAGTCATAATCTTGGTTGTACACACATATATAAACATACTGCAGTGTTATTTAGCAGTATAGCTTTTTCATGATAAGGAACAGATGAAATAAATAATGGTATATATATATATATACACACACACATACACACACACACACACACACTGTGTAATGCAGATCAGGTCGTTAAAAGCCAATTGAGAAAAGTAAAACTAACTTGATGCATAGGAAATTGTTCACACTATCTTTTATGTGATAAAAAGCAAGCTGTAAGCTACAGTGTAATAGCATTTCGGTAAATAGCCACAGAGAAAGTGTTAATAGAGAAATTTACCAAATTGTTTTCATAATTATGTTTGAGAGACAAAATTGTAGGTAATTTTTTCAACATTTCTGCATTTTTCAAATTTTCCATATTGCACATGCACAGTTATATACTTTTTATATCACAAAGCAAAAGTACATATTTACAAATAATATTTGTGGGTAAAGCACTCAAAAGCCAGAGTCCCTGAGCCTCTAATGAAAGTAAACCAGTTGGAAGGCAAAGATCAGAATGTGCCTTCAAGGCCTGAAGATTGAAAAAATGCGTGTACCTTGGGAAAGTAATGTTAACTGAAATGAAACCAGAGACTCTTAAATAGCACGGTTTCTTATGTGAGAAACCCAAAATATAAAAAAGAACGAAATAAAAGATAATAGGAGGAGAGAGATCTTTGTCAAATGGGAGTGGGACCAAGGGATGGAGGGGGAAAGGGGATGAAAAAAGGAAATTAAGACAAATGTGCATGTACCAACCCCACAGGAGGAATGTAAACATCATGTACTGCAAACACGTATTAATTAAAAAATAATAATCAGTTCTGCTGAAATGTGAAGAGAAAAAGAAAAGCAATGTTACTCTGAACCTGATAATAAACAAAAGATTATTTAAGAGTGCAGACGATGGAGGGGAGCGCAGGTTTCCTCTAAATGTTCTGGAAGCCAGAACTGTAAGCACGGCAGGTTCTCAGTCATCAGCCAAAGGTCAGTTCTCAGTTCATACCAGCCAGGAAGTACCTGCAATATGTTAATGGCTTTAACTACGAAACAAGGAAGTTTCAGTAACACTAAACAGAGAGAGAGAGAGAGAGAGAGAGAGAGAGAGAGAGAGAGAGAGAGAGAGAGAGAGAGAAAGAGAGAGAGAGAGTGTGTGTGTAAATAAAAGCACCTTGTATTTCTATACCACCTCTCACCTGAAAATAGGACTCTTTTTGGTGCTCCTTTTAAATTGGAGGTATTGCAGAAAGTCAAGTCCCAATGCCCAGTTCAAAACTTGCCTCCTCTATTCTACCTCACTGCGGTCCTTTGTCCGCCAGCTTCTTCCGCGGAGACCCAGCAGCCTTGGCCGAGCCCTGCAGGATCGGGCTTGTGCTTGGGCGGGACCTGGAAGCGTGGAAAGCGCGCCAAGGTGGCTGTGGGTGCCGGGTGGCAAAGACCAGCAGAAATTGCAAATGGAGAGACTTATATATATAAAAAAAAAAAGCACAGTGACGTGAAGTCTTAGTCGAGGTCACGTCTCACACGCCACTGACCTATAGTCCAAGTAGACGGAGGACGGGACAGAGATTAGAACCGGGCCCTCCCCGAGCAGGTAAGTCAGAGGTTGCAGCCACCTGAGGGTGGCTGCGGAGGCCCGGCCCCTCCGGCTCTCGGCCGCCCGCAGC